TAGGGGGGGGGGGGGGGGGGGTAATCTCTATATGTTTTAATTTGTAATACATCTAATATTGACCAATGAGAAAAATACTAAGTAGCTAAAGTTAGCTCATATTTATTAGCTCCATGTGCAAGTTAGCTAGCTAGTCGACTGGACGAAAAATGTCATAGTCAGTGCCATTGATATTAGTGTAATACTATAGCAACAATGCTAATAATACATTTATATATGCAGAAACCGATAAATTATAAAGGATGACTACAGATGTAACTTACCTTACAATCAGGTCATGATCCACACCGCTCCTGTAAAAAATGATAATGAGAACATTGCTTCTCCTGCTGCTGTTGCCGCCCTCTACTGACTGGAGTATGGAACAGTGTCATTTCTATTCTGAACTATTCCATTTCCCGAAATTTGTATGTAAATCAGTCTCATACAATTTAACTAATTGGATCTGGCTTGTTCCACAGCTTGCTACATTTAAACATTTATTACACAGTGTTCCTGTGGCTCAGTGGTAGAGCATTGTGTTACCAGTGCTAAAGGTCGTGGGTTCGATTCCCAGGGAACACACATACTGGTAAAAAATGTATAGCCTGAAGCGTCTGCTAAATGTATGAATTATTATTATTATTAATTATGAATTAAACTATATTCATACTTTTTAACTGATTAAAGCTAGGCATACACGGTGCGATTTTTGCGGTCGTACGACCTCGTACACGATTTTTTCCCATCGGGAGAAATCACGTGGAAATCGTTGATGCTCGTATGGTCATGGTTTGCATCGTGTGAGAGGGATTTACGAGCCGACCCGAGCGCCTCACGAGCTCCCAAGAAAAAGGGGGTGTTTAATACATTACAAACTGAAAAAAAAAAACAATTTGAGAATTACATGTCATTAAATAAGGAAAAGAGTTACAAACCATAGTTTTTAAAGCTATTTTGTTCTTAGACAATTGGATCAATGAAAGGTATTGCTCAAATTTTTTCATGAAAACAAGAGAGGTCACGCTGAACTTTGGCAGAAACAGCGAGCACTGTATAATGTCATGCAGTGCGTACCATGAGTTTTCCGAGATTATATTTTACAGCAGATCGCTCAAGAGCTACAGGTATCAGGTGAGATGTAGCACGTATAGGTAGCTGCTTATTGTTAGCTATAGCGTGTAACTAGGCTTTATAATTCACACACACATGGGGTGACCAAACGTCCCGGTTATCCGGTGCTGAAAAAGGACCTGTAGGCCTAGCAAACAGTCACGTCTCATATCAATATTATGCAGTTATGAGAGAGATAGCGAGAAAGAGAGAGTGGTTTTATTTAAATGTACTACATATAAGTAACACAGTTTATTATTACATACTGCCCTTCTCTCAACTCAATTCAATACGTCATTACATCAGGGAACTTCATGCGATTTCTTCAGAATTCAGGAGGTCGTAAAATCGTGTTGTATACCACTGCGTCCGTACGATTTTCAGATAAACTCACTCGTGACGTGTGCGTGGGCATACGATCCTCCAACCGTCAGAATTCACACCGTGTATGCCCGGCTTAAACCTAAAAGTTTTCACAATTAACAGATTTAGATTAATTCTAAGGAATCTGACTACATAATTTTTGAAAAAAAAAAAAAGTTTATATAGGCCAAAATAAAATCTAAATTATGCAAATACTTAAAGGTTTAGAAAACTGATTCAGGCCGAATAGCAAAACAAACTTGTAGCCAATCAGCAGTAAGGGGCGTGTCTACTCATGATGTGGAGGAGAGAGCGTTCAGTCCGAGCCGAGCGACAGATAGATAGAGATGGCGGATAAAAAACAAAAGAGGAAAACGTCTGCGGAATAAAAGAAGGCTTAAGGCAATAAGTAGGACCCGTGTAAATATCGGATCAGCTTTCCAGCGCTGGAGAGAACTCAAGGAGAAGAAGTCCTGCGATCGGACGCCGAGGTTGCTTTGTTTCTTCTCGATAGGTGAGTAACACCGTGTCTGCGCCGCAACAGCTAAAGTCTGTCTAGTACACTGGATGCGACAAAGCGACCATTGAAAATCATTTGAAATATGGGTCAATACATCATAAATAGAACACAGCAGCAGTTTTCTGTCTGGGATTTGTGATGTCGTGCTGCGCTGCATCCAGTGTAGACCATAGATATGTATATATATCTATGGTGTAGACAGCATCACTGATTATAATGAGTTCTATAGTATTTTGTCACGCCGCGCCGCTCGCGTCCGGTGTAGACACTGTGTAACATTGGTTTTGCTTTGTTTCACAGAACTAATCGTTGCCTGGGTTGTGTACGTACCATAACTGGGTTGCGTATGTGTGGGGCGGAGCTATCAAAATAGGGTGAGACCCTTTTGGGGTAGTGGCGTGTTTGTTTTGGTGATTTCAAATGTCAACATTGGCTACCAGAAATCACTTACCCCACCTTTAATAATAAACTATGCCATTTTGTTTTTTTGAGTGCATGATTTGTAAAGGCACACACCTGTCTATATAAGGTCTAACAGTTGAAAATGCAAATCAAACCATAAAGTCAGAGGAAATGCCTGCAGAACCAGTTTTGTGTCTAGTCACAGATCTGATGAAAGCTACAAAAAAAAATCTGCATCACTGAAAGTTCCAGAAAACACAGTGACCTCAAACATCTTACAATCTCAACCAGGACTCTTCCTAGAGCTGGCCACCTGGCCAAGCCATTGGAGGATATTAATATAATTTCATACATGTGTGGTTTGCCTGTTTCGGACACTTTGAACTGTTTTCTTTCCAGAAGTTCGTATTAAGTAGTTTAAGTTATAGACGGTTTATCGGACGCATTCGTTTGGCCCAAAGTTAACTTCCGGTCTGTGTTTGTTTATTGGTCTGGCTAGTAGTATGGTGCTGACTATAAACGCAGTTAAAGTTAAGGTGATGAGTAAACTGAAGGGCTCAGGTTGTTGTGTTGTGGAATGCAACCCAGTGTTTCCCATACATTGATTTATTTGTGGCACAATATCAAAACTGACCATCACAAATATCATTTTCAAAAGGCTATGACTTCGTTGAATAAACATGAGCACTGTATGTTTCAAAATCAAAACGCGACATGGGTGTATTTATATCACTGTATCTCTGCAGGAAATCGCCTGTCTTCAGAAAATGTTCAATGTCATTTTCATTTAGCTTTCCTATAATGCCTGATCAAGCAGCGTTTGTGAGCGCAGCGTTGCTTTGTGTAACGTTACAGCCGTTACCGGGGAAAACGCTATTTCTGGATCACAGCTGTGCGAAGAGAGGCTTGGCAGCCAGGCAAGACATAGTTTTAACTTGCTAGCTAATGTAATTTACTTATTTATTTTGTTATCAGAAATAATCCATTCTAGAGGGACTCTGTTGTTATTGATTTTTTGCGTAAGTCTACCGTAAGTTAGGTTTGGACCACAAAAGCGCACATGCGCAGTTACGTTTCTTTATGTTGTTGCCGTTAAAAAGGGTCTATATTTATCAGAACTTTTAAAGGATTTAAAATGGTAATATAAAATGGTAAATGTAGATCTATAAAATGGTAAAGGTGTAACTATATAAATATGTTTATGATATATTTAGCATTTCTTCAGCTGTAAATATGTAATAATGTTTATGTTGTAGATGTCATCAGTATGTCCATATTGTATGTTTCAGCATCTCTTTAAATGTACACAAATGTATGTGTTATACCTATAATTGTTATGTACTAAATGTAACCTATGAAACCAGGCTGACAGTGCATGATGGGGTTTCTCTGGTCAGTGAGCATACATAGGTTGTACACTTATTACTGCATTGTGTTCTGGAATTGACTGAGTGCACTAGAAAATCTTCACTATGGTTATGGACACGACTACAAAATGTCTGATATTCAAAATTACATAAGGGGATGGGGGCCATTTCGAACATGGCAACTGATATGTTAACCAGTCCTGTCAACTTGCACTTCCTGATAATTACATCATTTATACAACAGACGTCTCGCTCATTGAATAAATGTCTTAGGTTACATGCTTGCCATGCTACTGTCCACAGCAGGCTGCAAAACAATTAAATTCTTCATCTTATTTAAGAGGTGCATTTGTGATGACTTTTTATTGCTGGTCATAAAAATCCTAAGCTTAGAAAACAGTCAGCACTGCCACAGAAACTGCAGTCCTATGATACAAAAAAAAGGAGATGAACTCTATTTTTTAATTGGAGTCGCACACAGACTCATGGGAACACGACAGTGTATTTAGATACCATGATATGTGTCAAGCTTTCATTGCACTCTAATAAGACGAGACGTCTTATCTGGAAAAAAAAAACTTTAATGGTTTCTATTCAGCAATGTTATGGGGAGAGCACAGACTAATGAGTGATGTGGGTAGATTTAATATAATATCTGGTACCAACTATGTATGAATTTTATGCTTGTCATTCTGAATTGAAGTGTCAGAGGTAGTTTTATTTTGTTGTTGATTTACATCACAGTATAATAATGCAAGAAATTTCAGAATTAAGGTAAACTAATTCTATACTAATATCCTAACTATAGGTATACTAAGTGGACCAGATTTTTTTTTTCCTTAATGTTTTAAATATATTTACAGATTTTGAAAAATATTAAATAGAAATTACCTTAAAGTGTAAAGTGTATCTTGGTGTTGTTGAAAGGGAAAATTAACTATTATTTATTTTCTCATTTTCTATGACATCATTTGTTTGAACAGAACACTGTGTGTAAAAGGAGTCTTCAACATGAATTTTTCTGCACATAATATCTCATTTACAGACTTCAAATTTAATGGTTTTTACAGTCTAGGAGAATGGAGGCCTTTCTTATTTATCCCTTTCTTTCTGATGTTTTTATTAGCTATCACAGCAAATTCCATTCTTATATATTTAATCATAAGCCAAAGGTCTCTGCATTCTCCTATGTATGTACTAATAGGTTTAATGGGTGTTGTAGACTTGCTCTTGCCTATATTTTTTGTACCTAACATGCTTCTTAGCTTTTTGTTTAATTGGAGTGGGATTTCTCTAATTGGTTGTTTGACACAAATGTTTTGCCTTCATTTTGTTGGAACATTTCAAACTACTTTGCTTTTTTGGATGGCACTTGATCGTTATTTTGCAATATGCAAACCACTTTATTATCATAAATACAAGGAAATCTGTAACTTTCTAAAGTTTGTTTATGCACCTCTAATCAGAAATGGACTCCTGATTATCGCCATTGTCTCTCTAGCTGGAAGACTGTCATTTTGTGCAACAAATGTCATTGATCACTGTTTTTGTGAGCACATGGCATTGGTTCAGTTAGCATGTGGAGATATATCAATTAATAACATTGTAGGACTATTGACTGTTTTCCTTGTGCCAACTGCAGATTTTATTCTCATTACTGCTTCCTATGTTGTGATTTTTACCTCTGTTTTCAAATCGGGCAAAGCTCACATGAAGGCCTTAAACACCTGCATAACCCACTTAATTGTCCTGTCAGTTGCTTTGATTTCTGCCTTGATTGCATTTCTATCATACAGAATAAGAAACAACATTTCTTCCAACAACCGTATAGTTATAAGTGTCATGTACTTATGTTTTCCAAGTTGTTTTAACCCAATAATCTATGGATGGAGAACAAAAGAAATAAGACATGTGTTTCTGAAATTTATAAACCAAAATGTGTTTTCTTTAGAAAAATGAATGGCATTTATAAATGAATCAATTTAAAGAAATTATACATATAAAAGTGACCTTAATGTAAAAAGATTTTGTTGTTGAGGGAGGAAAATTATACCTATAAAATATTTTAAATGAATAAATGCACATTAAAGACAAGTATATTAAAAGGTGTACAATTAATGTCTTTACACACATACACACACACCCCTAAAGCATCAATATCACCCCATAGATATCTATAGAGAGATACATTACCATTTCTATAGGCTGATATGGGTAAGCCATGCACTTAAATATATAATATAAATAAAAAATAAAACATAATTATCTAAATAATGCTTTTTTTTACAACAATATATTCATTATTAATTTTAATATTTATTAACAGCAATATATTAATATTTATTTAAATCATGTTTTCAATAAATATATAATTATAAAAAATTTTGTATTGTAAATAAACAAATGTCCCCAAAGGAAAATGTCTCAGGTTATGTATGTAACCATGGTTCCCTGAGTAGGGAAAACCTAGAGGACGCAGTGTCTCGTTCCCTACTCAGGGAACCATGGTTACATACGTAACCTGAGACGTTCCCTTTGCTGAGGGGAGTGCATGCCAGAAAACCATGGTGAGCACTAAGTACCAAGTCTACCATAGCCATGGGAGTTGCCCCGGGGACGTTAAGACGGCTGTCAGTGACATTAGCCCCAAAAACTTACCTGTTAGGGCCATAACTCCTGGGCCCGGGGTAGAGCTCAAGGCTTGGAATCAGGAATATTAAGGGGATACGACCAAGTGCCTAGAATCGTACTAGGTCCTGGCCTGTCACCCAGGGGCTACCGCATGCTCTGCATATGCTGAAGGAACTGTCTCAACAGACCCCTAGTAGCAACACCCTGTAGAGCCTAGAATCATACTAAGTCTTGGCCTGTCACACAGGGGCTACCGCATGCTCTGCATATGCTGAAGGAACTATCTCAACACACCCCTAGTAGCAATACCCTTTTAAAAGTGGATATCCGGAGGATACAAGGTGGAGTGGTGCCCAAGGTGGAACTGGGGCTTAACCAGCTCAAGAAAGGGCATGTAGCTGCCGCGCGAAGCCCTCACCATACAGGATTTTAGAAAGAACGCAGAGTACTAGCATGCGAACTTACCACAGTGTGGATTTTAGAAAGTGTACAGAGACTTACGTGGACACTTACCATAACATGGATTTAAAAATACCGTTCTAAGGGGCCCTCGTGGCACTCTGAAATAGCAGCCCATAGATGGAAATTGTGCATCCCAAAACACTATGTTTGAGAAGTCATCAACTCGATCTAAGGTATAATGCTGGAGTAGCTAGCAGTAAATCTCTAGCTGAGGCAAAAGTTTGTCAACAGAGACACTCTGGTTGAGTGGAATTAAATACATATATATATATATTATAAGAAATGGATCGTACTCACCCACCATGGTTCCCGCGCAGGAGCCCCATTCAAGAAGCGACCCAAGGAAGCCTCTAGTTCGGACCATCAGTAAGGTGGTCACTATAAAGCCATGCTCTGGGAAAACAGAGAACTCAACTCTCACGTGAGAGGAGAACGCTGAATTCAGAAAGTATCAGCGTGCTCATACGCAACCCTTTGATAAAGGGGAGCACTGCTAAACACTACCACGAGAACAGCCCACGGAGCGAGGAATCCAACTCCTCAGAAGGGACTTACCACTTATGTGGATTTTAGAAAGTGGGCAAAGCATAACGTGCACACACTTGAATACCGTTATAGGGGTTCTCGTGGCACCCTGAAAGAGCAGCCCATAGATAGAAATAGCGCATCCCCAAACGCTATGTCTACGGCTATTATGCTGGAGTGACTAGCAGTAAATCTGTAGCTGAGGGAGCAACATCCAGCTCTCAATCGAGAGGGAGCTCGACCTACGGCATGTTCCAATGGTGGAACAGCTAGCAGTTATTTAGCTGAGGGAGCAACACACCCAGTTCTCAATCGAGAAGGGGGCTCGACCTACAGCATGTTCCAATGCTGGAACGGCTAGCAGTAAGTTACCTTAGCTGAGAGAGCACAACACCAAGCTCTCAACGAGCGGGGGCTCGACCTACAGCACGATCGTTAGGAATCAGAAGGGTAAGCGTACTGCAAGCTAGAAGGAAATGAGTAGATACTCAAGTATCACTCTAATCCAGACAAAAGTGCTGACGCCTTGTCTGGATCACATCCCTTAGGTCTTGCCTACCTCCTTTTGACCCGCGATTCCTCCTACCCCTACCCGCAGGCGGGGGAGGAGCGTGAGCCGCGACACTAGCCTTCTGTGCACGTCTCTGATCTTCAGACCGAGATGGGCCAGGACCCCTGTGTTGTTCGGGCTCAGACCTGGACCTTCGTGGAGCACCGCCATCGTGTGCAACGAAGCGACAGCCTGACCTGCTGCTGCGTATGCCCTGCCATTCAAGCAAGATGTATCCTGAAGGGGCTTAGATGGTCAGGAGGGAGTCTTAAGAGAGGATGTCTCACCATAGAGCGATAGCTAGCCAGCGTCTCATAGCCGTTTTCGCGCATCGACTCGATGTTGGCATAACTCGGATGCTGGAATCGATGGATGCATGAGGAAAACGGCCTCTTCCATTCCTTCTCGATCTCTGTATGGAGATCAGGAAGAAAGGAAGGCTCACCTGAGCTGGAGGGTTACGGCCAGAAAGATTGCGCTCATCGACACGACCTCGCGACGTCACGTTCTTGGCCTGCTTCCATGGCAAGTCAAGCCTCGCCATGGCGTGATCCATAACTTCCAAAACTCATCATACGCAGGGCAGGAGGATTGGGAAGGCTCAGCCTCAGCTTCTTTGCCCTCCTCAGACATCTCCTGCTTTTCCTGGGTCGAACTCAGCAGAGCACTGGCCCCTGGATCAGACGATGTTGAATGAAATAACATTATCCTTCAGCGGCTCACTCTCATCCACAGCTGACGAGCGCGAGGGGGAAATCCCCTCTTTAAACTCATCGGCCAAATCCACCCTGCGATCCCCACGAGCTCATTCTCCTCCACACCTCAGCAGCGGTGGGTCCTGAACCGCGGGGAGCCGATGGCTGCCCCTCTTTCCTCAAAAAGAGAGACAAACGAAAATATATTCCTTCCTCGTATTTTAGATTTTAAAGTGGCTGGTAAGTGTATCTCTCGTCATGATGTCCTGGGACAGTTTTTAGCATTCTGTATCTTTGAAACCTATTTAAATACTTAATTGTCCCAATTAGAGACACTCATCTACAAACTGCTTATCAAATGGGTGACATCTAGAAAACAGTAGTGATGTCTGGTTCATGAACGAATCGTTCGATTTAACCGGTTCTTCTTAGTGATCCCAGCGTGCACACTTACCACTACTGTGGATTTTAGAAAGTGCGTAAAGTGTTCAACGTGCACACTTACCACTATGTGGGTTTCAGAAAGTGCACAGAGCTTAGCGTGTACACTTACCATAGCATAGATGTAAATTTCCAGGCATCTGATCACAGATACCAGGAGGTACTGGGCCAAACGGGAGAGGCAAGCTCAAATACGACCCCCTAAGGCGAGGGGAGCACTGCCTGAGACAGCATTACAGAAGAAGGTTCTCGCAAATGCCACCTATACTTCCCGCTCGATGCCTCAGCAAGAAGGGATATCCTGGTGACCAGGAAGCACCTCAGGGCGACCTAGATACAGTGTACCAGACAGGGCAGCCTGAAAGCCCAGCCTGGACGACCAGGAAATTTTGCAGTGCCGTGCCGTGCCGGGGGCCTGATGATCAAGAAGGCTCCCACAGATTCACTTTTTTAACGTGGCTGACACTCCCTCTGAGTCGAAATAAATATCCCGGAGTAATTCATTTACTCAAACAGTACACTGACTAAACTGCTGTGAAGAGAGAACTGAAGATGAACACGAGCAGAGCAGCATGTGTGCAGCGTGCCGGGTAATGAACGTCCCTGCTGGGCGTGTACTCGTTCTCGAGTCAAGAGCTGGTTGGTACTCGTTCTCGAGTCAAGAACCGGTTGGGATGATTATGCGCATGCGTGATTCAGCGTGAAGCTACCGAACAGATTGCCTACTATGACTGACACAGCATGTCTGAACCGAACTGGTTCTTTTAGATAACTGATTCTGTGCTAATGTTATGAGCATGGGTAAACCGAAGACTTGAATGAAGGGCAATCTGGCGAAAGTAAATTTATTTAATAACAAATAAATCGCAATGGATTATGTATAGTAAGTGGATTATGGTTTCTGCGCTGATGACAACTAATTTATTTACTTTATATCTTCAAGACTTAAATCCTGGTATGCACATCACTGCCTGTTACTGTATTTGGGTGCTTAGTTGCAAAACTTAATTGTAAACATTTCTGATTATGATGTTTTAACTGACTGAAGTTATGATTACTGACTTTATATATTTGAATGTGTATTTTCATCCCGGCCAGAGACGATAGACTTGATATCATTACATCATCTTTCAGTTCCCGGAAAAGAACCGGACTTCCCATCACTAGACAACAGTGGTCAAAATGTCACAGGATTGACATATATATAGGGGCTTTCACACTGGAGGAACTTTTAATTGTTCCTAGAACATTGGCGTATGTACCTGCTTTTTGGCGTGTTTGCACCACAGGAACTAGGAACGGTTTTAGTTCTACAGTAGGAACTCCATTTGGAAGAACTAAATTAGCTCCTACTTTAGAGTAGGGTCTAAAACAGTTCAATAGGAACTATCAGAAGTGTACACTGATTAGCCATTTTTAAAAAGCCATGTAAACATATTTACTCCACGAACATGGAAAACAGCGATAACGGCATTTACCTGTCGTCTGCAGTGTTGTGTTCTTTTCTCAGCCTCGATGATATGTAACACTGCAAGTTAGCCCAACATTTTGCTTTTTCAATCATGTAAAGTCAAGTCAAGTCACCTTTATTTATATAGCGCTTTTAACAATACAGATTGTGTCAAAGCAACTGTACAGCATTAATTAGGAAAATA